TGCACCAAAGACAAATGCCTTGTGTGTCCAACCACACTGGGCCAATGCGGAAGAGTCCTGGGGCTAAGAGAGAACCTTCTGGCATCCCACTGCTCCCTTCCCTCCACGTGGACGTAGTAGCGTTAAGGACTACTACTCGTTGAGTATGGCTGGTCAGCCAGCTGCGAATCCACCTGCGGGTGATGCTGTCCGTCCCACGTGTCTCTACCTTCCCAAGAAGCAGGCTGGGGTCTCCTTCGTGGAGTGCCTTGCTGAAGGCTCACGCGGGCTTGACGTCCACAGCATTTCGCTGGCCTCCTAATTGAGCCGCTTCGTCAAAGGGCCCCCAAAGGGGCTTTTTCTTCGGAGACGTTTCGCTTCTCCTCCAAGAAGCTTCTTCAGCTCTGACTGCGGGGTGGGGAAGGGAAACCTCTCCAAAGGAAAAAGCACCTTCGGGACAGCCGGGACACGGAGGACGGGAGGATCCCCACCGGCTTCTAGTGCCGGCGCCCCCCTGCTAGGACGCCGCTCGTGGGAAGCCCGTTCGAAGCGGCGACGGCAGGAACGGAGGCCCCGGACGGTCCCGCGCGAGGAGCCCGGGCCGAAAGACGGGGGTGGGGGGCGGGGGGCTAACGGATCCACGGACCTGCCCCTGGCAACCGACACCGGAAGAGCTCCAATCATTTCCGAGGCGAACAGAGAAAAACCGTCCTTCGGAGCCGGCGCCGATTGGTCAGAGGCAGTAATGGCCCCGCCTTCGCATCCGGTTCCGGAGTCCTGCGCCTGCGTGCTCTCGGCGGGGATCGTGCAAAGCGGGGCTCGTCGCCGCCATTAGCGGAGTTGGTCGCGGAGGAAGACCCTGGTCTGAGCCGGCGGGGCTGCGGGGCCCGGAGCCCTCGCGAGGGGAAGGCAGGTGCGAGACTTCCCTTCCCTCTCTCGGCCAGGCCCGCCCCCACCCCCCGCGCGTCCACTCTGCCGGGGGAGCGGGGGGTGCGCGCCCGCAGGCTGGAAGGGCCGCCGCCTCTCCGCCTGCTCCGTGCGGGGCCCCGGGAGAGACCCCGGCCCCGCCCCCCCTTCCCTTCGACACCCCCCCCTCCCGCCTGCCCTTGGCAAGGCGGCCGCTACTTCGGCCGCCCCCGGAGAGGCCACGGATTCGGCCCAGCCGCCCCCCCCGCCCCCCGGCTGCCTGGGCGATGCTCCTGGGGGAGGCTGGGTGGTCTCTCGTGGAGTCCTCCCTCCTCCGGGGAGAGGGAGAGGGACGTGGGGAGAAGCAGGCCAAGAGCCCCCCTCCCTGGTCCCCCGGCCTTGTGCTGGGCGGGAAGGGAGAGGCCGCTGCCGCGATCCCCACGCCGATTCCTGGCAGGAAGGGTCCCGGGGAAGGAAGGGGAAAAAAGGGTCCCGGGGAAGGAAGGGGAAAAAAGGGTCCCGGGGAAAACTGGTAGGAAGAGCGGGGGCGGGGGCAGCTGTGGAGAAGCCCCTGCCTGCCTTCTGGGGGGGCCCTGTTGGGGCTGCAGGGTCTCCAGGCGCCTCTCGCCTTAGCGGCTGTTCTGCACTTTTGTAGGATGTTATTCCTCCCCCTGCAGACATTTTCTGGGTGAAGCCCCCAAAGCGCCGCTGCCGCCGCCGCATCTTCCCCGCCGTTCCACGTGACTTGCTTGTGCTGCTTCTCTGGGAGTTGCCTCAGGAGGCTGGGCGGGTGGGTTGGGGTCGTTTCGCCCGGGCGGGAACACGGCGCTCTTAGAGCAAGGGGCCTGCCTGTGCCTCTCCCCCAGTCAGAGGTGGTCTCTGTCCTTTTTCCCAGGCTACGTTCCTCACCATGGCTGGAGTCTTCCCCTTCCGGGGCCCTTGCCCGCCCATGCCTACCCCCTTGACTCCATTGCCTGACTACATGTCGGAGGAGAAACTGCAGGAGAAAGGTACGGTCCCGGGACGAGGCTCCGTCCCCACTGCTCCCATGCTGGCGGTTGAGTGAGGGGGATTCCGGGGGCTGAGTGAAGAGGCTTTCATGCCGGGGTCCCCCCCCCTCCCCCCGCTTTTTTTAGCCCGCAAATGGCAGCAGCTGCAGGCAAAGCGCTACGCTGAGAAGAGGAAATTTGGCTTTGTGGACGCCCAGAAGGAGGACATGCCGCCTGAGCACGTGAGGAAGATCATCCGTGATCACGGAGACATGACCAACAGGAAATTCCGTCACGACAAGCGAGTGTATTTGGGGTGAGACTTGGGGAACATGCCGGGGCTCGCTTGGGCTGGGATGTTCGGCTGTTGGCCCAAGGAAGAGCCAGGCGGGAGGCTTGGCTGAGTGGTGCTTCCACTGAGGAGATCTCCAGGTGAAGAACGTGGGGGGAGGGGGCTGCTTGGCGCTGCCCAGTAGATGCTGGGTGGGGGTGGGGGTGGGTGGGTCAGGGGTCGAGTGCTACGGTTCAGCTTGCAGCAGTTTGAGCCCTAGGAGATGCCCTGGGCTTCCTGTCTTGGGCATTTTGCTCAATCTCTTGAAAGGCGCGGACGGAGCCCTCGGCAGGCCTCAAGGAGGAAGAGGGCAGCCCTGCTCGCCACACCCTGTCAGGTTCTTCTCTGGGAGTGAGCCTGAGGAGGGGGCTTGCAGGTGCCCCTGGGCAGAGTCTCAGCAGGTCCCACGTGGGAGGGTCTTAAGGCTTCCCTTGGAGCCCTCACCCCCAGGAGTCTCCTGCTGCAACGGCCAGCTTTTCCTTGGCCTCTTCAGGCAGGGCATCACGGTGGGTGGATGGCTGGACAAGAAGCGGAAGCAGCACAGGCTCTGGGAATGGGCCGTATGGGCTGCAGGCTAGAACAGCAGAACCTGGGAAACCAGAGTTCCCTTACAGCAGGCAAAATTGAGACCGGGTTATTCTGAGGGTTTTTTTCCCCCCCACGACGGAGTTGGTTGCTCCCGTAACAGTTCACTGCTCTCTTCCCACCTTCCAAAGCCAAGACTGCCTTCTGCCCCACCCGGGTAGGCGGAAGGGGGTTGTAGGTCCCCGGGCTAGTACCTTGCAGTCAGAGTCCTACGTATTTCAAGAATTGCACTCCAGTGGCTGAGCCAATCTTTCTTTCTGCCAACACCCTCCCCCCCGCCCCGCGCGCACTGCAACGGCTGTGCTGGCCAACCAGAATCCGGCAGTGGCTGGTCCGTTGCCAGGGTGAGTACCGTGTGCTTCTCCTCCCCTCTCCCCCCGGCCCCAGGGCCCTGAAGTACATGCCGCACGCAGTTCTGAAGCTGCTGGAGAACATGCCGATGCCCTGGGAGCAGATCCGGGACGTGCCGGTCCTCTACCATATCACCGGGGCCATTTCCTTCGTGAACGAGATCCCGTGGGTGATCGAGCCGGTGTACATCGCCCAGTGGGGGTAAGGGGGCCTCCCCAGCTGGCCCATGGAGGGCGGGGGGGGCGGGGGGAGATTGGCCAGGACCGGCCTTGCACCCGTAGCTGATTCTTGGGAATCGGATGCATCCCAAGGTCCATGTGGATCATGATGAGGCGGGAGAAGAGGGACCGGCGGCATTTCAAGCGAATGCGCTTCCCGCCCTTTGATGACGAAGAGCCCCCCCTCGACTACGCGGACAACATCCTGGATGTGGAGCCCCTGGAGGCCATCCAGCTGGAGCTGGACCCAGAGGAAGACGCTCCCGTCTTGGACTGGTTCTACGACCACCAGCCCCTGAAGGATAGCCGCAAGTGTGTACCCCTACTCGCTCCCTTCCGGGGGGAGGCCGGATGGGGTTCCAGCTCCCAGACCTGGGGGGGGGGGGGGCGCTTGAACCCAGAGCAGGGCGTGCCTCTCTCTTGCTGAGCTGCTTCAAGGAGAGACGGCCCCTTAGGGGCCCCTTCTCTCTGCGCGTTTCATGCTCTGACCTCGTGGAGGGTCCAGAAAACCCTGCCCCCCCCGAGGCCCCCCCCCCCCTGTGGGGAACAAAGGGGTCGTGGGGGGGGGCAGTTGCTAAAGCCGCCCCCCCCCCCCGTCCAACCCCTGCCTCTTCTGGGCTGCAGGTACGTCAACGGCTCCACCTACCAGCGATGGCAGTTCACCCTCCCCATGATGTCCACCCTCTACCGCCTGGCCAACCAGCTCCTCACGGATCTCGTGGACGACAACTACTTCTACCTGTTCGACCTGAAGGCCTTCTTCACCTCCAAGGCCCTCAACATGGCCATCCCGGGGGGGCCCAAGTTTGAGCCCCTGGTTCGAGACATCAACCTGCAGTGAGTGGCGGAGGCTTTGCCTTGCAGGCTTTGGGGGGGAGGGGCTGTGGGGGGGGGCTTGTTTGTGGGACCTTCTCACCTTGCGTCTGAGTGACGGTCAGTACGGGGCAAAGTCCGGTGGGTGGGTGGGTTTGGGGGAAAGAGCTTCAGGAGTGTGTGTGTGTGTGTGTGTGTGTGTGTGTGTGTGTGTGAGAGAGAGAGAGAGAGAGAGAGAGAGGGGATATTTTGACCTCTCCTGGGATGTGGGGGGAGGCAGGCTCTGCCTGGGAGCCCCTCCGAGCAGCCCCCCCCCCTCTTCCTCTTCCCCCTCAAAGGGACGAGGACTGGAACGAGTTCAATGACATCAACAAGATCATCATCCGGCAGCCCATCCGGACCGAGTACAAGATCGCCTTCCCCTACCTCTACAACAACCTGCCCCACCACGTCCACCTCACCTGGTGAGATCGGCCGAGTGGAGCTGCTGAGGCTGGGGGGGAGGGTGGGGGGAGAGAAGAGGGAGGGGAGAGGTGGGCTGGGATGACCATTGGCAGGCCGGATGCTGTGCCCCATCCTGGGGGTGGGTGGGCCAGGAGGCTCAGCTGGCCTTAAAGCCAGTTCAGGCGATGACAGCTCCGGGGAGGGGCTCCTTGTCCTAACAGCCTCTCCTCCTCTGCAGGTATCACACCCCCAACGTGGTCTTCATCAAAACGGAGGATCCAGACCTGCCAGCTTTCTACTTTGATCCTCTCATTAACCCCATTTCGCACAGGCATTCGGTTAAGGTGAGGCCAGTGGGGTGTGTGTGTGTGTGTGTGTGTCCAAAAGCCTGCATTTCTGTCACATCTCCGGAAGGAGCCCGGAGGGTCTTCCAGGTAGGAACGGAAGCAACATCCAAGCAGCAGTGGCTTCAGGAAGGAGTTCCCGCCATAGGAGGGCCACCGCGAGGGAGCAAAGGGAATGAATCGCGGGCGGAAATGAGTGGGAGACGCCCGTCTTGCAGAAGGGTGGGGCCAGGGCTTGCCCCTCTTCCTCTCCCCCCCCCATCTGCAGCTTTCACCGGGCCACCTGGAGGGACGTCTGAAGGGGACACGGGGGTTTTGTTATTGGGCTCCTCCGGGCCTCCTTTCTCGCGGGGCCCTCCGTGACCGCCTCTCCTCCTCCCAGAGCCAGGAGCCGCTGCCTGATGACGATGAGGAGTTTGAGCTGCCGGAGTTTGTGGAGCCCTTCCTCAAGGAGACCCCGCTCTACACGGACAACACGGCCAACGGCATCGCCCTGCTCTGGGCACCGCGGCCCTTTAACCTGCGCTCTGGCCGGACCCGGCGGGCCCTGGACATCCCTCTGGTCAAGAACTGGTGAGCGTAGCCGAAGTGGCCCAGTGGGCCTCCCGAAAGGGCTTGCAAGCCGAACCTGGGCTCTCCCTCGGGGGCTCTGCTCTAATTTTGGGCGGGGCTGAGAACTCAGAGCTTTTCCTCCCCCCCCCCCCCCCCGGCTGCCAGGTACCGAGAGCACTGCCCCGCCGGGCAGCCCGTGAAGGTGCGCGTCTCCTATCAGAAGCTCCTGAAGTACTACGTCCTGAACGCACTCAAGCACAGGCCCCCCAAGGCACAGAAGAAGAGGTGAGGGGGGGGCTGTTGGTCCCCTGCCCGGTTTATTCTTGGGGTCTCTCCCCCCTTGGAAGGAGGGGCAGCTCAGAAGCGAGAGCGGGGGCCTGGCGAGGCGGGGGCCGTGTCAGCATGCCCACCCAGGCCTCCCCACCCCTCCCGGGTCTTCCGCCCGCAGGTACCTCTTCCGCTCCTTCAAGGCCACCAAGTTCTTCCAGTCCACCAAGCTGGACTGGGTGGAGGTGGGGCTGCAGGTCTGCCGCCAGGGCTACAACATGCTCAACCTTCTCATCCACCGCAAGAACCTCAACTACCTCCACCTGGACTACAACTTCAACCTGAAGCCGGTCAAGACCCTCACCACCAAGGTGCCTCCCCCTTCCTTTGCCCCAGAGCAGGGAGCTGTCAGGCCCAGTGCTGCTCTCTGTCTGCCCTGAGTCGCGCCAGGCGGGGGAGCCGTCCGGCAACCAGGTTGCGATAACGGCAGCCTTCCCATGACATGTTGGAGGGAGGGCACTGCGGCTGCCGAATGGCACCCAACCTGGAACTGTGGGGCGAACAGCTGGGAGGCGCTGGGTCTGGGAGAGCTGGTCCCTTATTACGGGCGTTTCCCTTCACCCGCGTGGTGGATGCAGGGGGGGTTTGCGTGGGTTTAAACAGTGGCGGGAGCGCCAGGCAAGCCGTCCTAACTATTTCCACATTATGCGCTGGTCGGCTCCAGCAGGAGGTAAACTCTTTAATGAAGCCAAGCGCGTTTGTGGTTTATCCTCTCTCATTTGCAGCGGAACCTGACGCTTTGAGGCAACTGGGGGGGGGAGGGGCAGAGGAACATGCTGGGACTGTCCCTGCTGGTCTGCCCTCCCCTCCTCCTCCTCAGGGTCCCCCGGTTCCTACGCTGCTCAGGGTCTCCCCTTGCTCGGTAGGAAAGGAAGAAGTCTCGCTTCGGCAACGCCTTCCACCTGTGCCGGGAGGTGCTGCGTCTCACCAAGCTGGTGGTGGACAGCCACGTCCAGTACAGGCTAGGAAACGTGGACGCCTTCCAGGTGGGTGGCACCCCCCTGCTGTTGAACGCCGGGGATCTGGGAGGCCCAGTGGCACACTGCAAAGCCCCCCCCCCCCCCCCCAGCCGAATCCTGGGGTGGGTGGGTGTCTCCCCTCTCAGCCCTGCTGCTTCCCCCCACAGCTGGCCGATGGGCTCCAGTACATCTTCGCTCACGTGGGGCAGCTGACTGGGATGTACCGGTACAAGTACAAACTCATGAGGCAGATCCGGATGTGCAAAGACCTCAAGCACCTCATTTATTACCGCTTCAACACAGTGAGTGCAGCTGAGCCCCGGGGGGGGAGGGGGAGCCTTGCCTGCAAAGCCCAAGACCAGGAGGGCTGCTGGTTTACGGGAAATAGCGATATTCTCTAAAAAAAAAAAAGAAAAAGAATGAAGCGGCTCGTGTGCTGAACCGTTATCCTGTAGTTCAGTCGTGTCTCTGGAACCGCAGGAGTTTCCAGCAGGTCCACTGGATTCCGGGGGGGGGGGGGGGGGGCGGCTTTCCTGACCCATGGGCCCTGCGGCCGGGGAATCTTGTGGTCCGGCCTGGGACCCACAAGTCAGGTGGGCAGTTGTGAGGGTCCTTGGGTGCCTGGCTGTCCCCGTGAAACCGACCCGGCGTTTCCTTCCCTTGCCTAGGGGCCAGTCGGGAAGGGCCCCGGCTGTGGCTTCTGGGCCCCGGGCTGGCGGGTGTGGCTCTTCTTCATGAGAGGGATTACCCCTCTGCTGGAGCGCTGGCTCGGGAACCTCCTGGCCAGGCAGTTTGAAGGTAAGCCGAGCCTTTCTCCCGGCTGGGTTGAGCCAGGTCGTTCCTTGAGCAGCCCGATCTTTTGGGAGGGGGGGGGCAACGAGATGCTGGTCAGCAAAATGTCCCCCTTGTGAATCCTCAAATAGTTTTGGGTCATCCATGATCCTGTGGGTTCTTTTCTTTCCTGGGAAGGTTCCCTGAAGTTCCGTTAATCCTTCAGAAACCCCACAGGAACTACGTTGGTTAGGAGAAGCAGCTGGCTTCCAAATCCGCACCTCCCCCAGCCAGCTCCTCATAGCTCCTGGGCACCGAGCCCCCTGCTCCACCGGCTCTCCTGCCTGGTGTAGAGATCTGGGGCTGAGCCGTGGCACCCCAAGGCAGCGGGTGGCCTACCCTGGTGGCTTTCAGGCGCTCCGCAAGAGGAGAGAGGAGAAGCCCCAAGGCACTTGGCCTCCTCTAGAGCAGGCCCCGTGGGCCGGGCCTCTCCCCTCCCACTGCTCTGGACTGGAGCTGGCCGCCCTCGGGAGCAGTGGCCCCACCTTCCCGCCTGGCCCAGACGGGTAGCAACTCGGGGGGAATCCCAGCTGGATCACCCTCTGCAGCTCCAGGACAAGGCAAAGTCTGTCGCGGCTGGACAGGTTGGATCCCTTCCCCTCCAGAAGGCAAAGCCCTTCCGCACCAGCCTTGAAAGCTGGAAAAGCTGCCAGCTTTTCTGTTGTCCTGGGGAGAAACCGTGGGGCCCTGGGAGACCCCTGGAGCGACCACGCAGGGAACCCGTTTCCCTCCCTCCCTTCCAGGCCGCCACTCAAAGGGGGTGGCCAAGACGGTCACCAAGCAGCGGGTGGAGTCCCACTTCGACCTGGAGCTGCGGGCAGCGGTGATGCATGACATCCTGGACATGATGCCCGAGGGGATCAAGCAGAACAAGGCCCGGACCATCCTGCAGCACCTTAGCGAAGCCTGGCGGTGCTGGAAGGCCAACATCCCTTGGAAGGCAAGTCCGTCTCCCTCCCTCCACCTGGGGCCGGCCGGCCAGGCGGGGCAGCTTCCGACCTTTTCCTCCTGTCCCACTGCAGGTCCCGGGGCTGCCAACTCCCATCGAGAATATGATCTTGCGGTACGTGAAGGCCAAAGCGGACTGGTGGACCAACACGGCGCATTACAACCGGGAGCGCATCCGCCGCGGGGCCACTGTGGACAAGACAGTCTGCAAGAAGAACCTGGGCCGCCTGACTCGTCTCTACCTGAAGGCCGAGCAGGAGAGGCAGCACAACTACCTGAAGGTGGGCGGCCCCTTGTGCCTCTCCCTGGGGGAGGCCGGTGTGTGGCGTGTGGCGTGCAGGCCATGACCCTGCTGTGGTTCATCTGCAGGATGGCCCGTACATCACTGCGGAGGAGGCTGTGGCCGTTTACACCACCACGGTGCACTGGCTGGAGAGCCGGCGCTTCTCCCCCATCCCTTTTCCTCCGCTCTCCTACAAGCACGACACCAAGCTCCTCATCTTGGCCCTGGAGAGGCTGAAGGAGGCCTACAGGTACCCTGCGGCGGGAGAGGCTGCAGTTGCGGGGGGGGGGGTCTGGTGCGGGGGGGGGGGGGCTCTGCGCCACACAACGCAGCAGCCAAGCGCACTCTTGTGAACAGGCCTTACCTGGTTTTTACCCCAACTCTTGCCACGCTGAGCCTATCGGCCACGAGTGCCGCCTTTTATGCCTGGGAGGTCATGTGGCAGGAAGTCCCACCGGCTTCGCCTGCCTCCTTGCTCACCTGCCTCAGAGCTCTCGGAAGGGGCCTGTGCTGCTCTCCCCAACCGCACTTCCTCCCTCCCTCCAGTGTGAAGTCCCGCCTGAACCAGTCGCAGCGGGAGGAGCTGGGCCTGATCGAGCAGGCCTACGACAACCCCCACGAGGCCCTTTCACGCATCAAGCGGCATTTGCTGACCCAGCGAGCCTTCAAGGAGGTGAGCCTCGGCGAGAGACGGGCAGCCTGGGACTCAAGGGTTCCGGAACAGTGCACAGCCGCTTAGGGGGGCCCTGAGGCATGAGGGCCCTGACCGGTGTTCTCCTTGGCCAGGTGGGCATCGAGTTTATGGACCTCTACAGCCACCTGGTCCCTGTCTACGACGTGGAGCCCCTGGAGAAGATTACAGATGCCTACCTGGACCAGTACCTGTGGTACGAGGCGGACAAGAGGCGTCTCTTCCCTCCATGGATCAAGCCGGCTGACACAGAGCCCCCTCCGCTGCTGGTGTACAAGTGGTGCCAGGGTGAGTCTGGGCGCAGGGCCTCACTGGTAACGCCACCCCTTCCTCCCTCAGACCTCAGGGTGGCCTGAACTGGGAGGCAGCGGTGGCTGGTTCTGGAGGGAGGTCCAGACTGGGAGGGCCCATCGTTACTCCAGGATGGCTGAGAAGGGTGTGATTGGCCAGCCAGGCTTCTGGCCCCGATTGCTGGAGGGTGCAGAGGGGCCCTTCCTCCTTCGCAATCTCCCCACGTGTTTCTGGGGGGGTTCCAGGCATTAACAACCTGCAGGACGTGTGGGAGACCAGCGAAGGGGAGTGCAACGTGATGCTCGAGTCCCGCTTTGAGAAGATGTACGAGAAGATTGATTTGACGCTGCTGAACAGGCTGCTGCGCCTCATTGTCGACCACAACATCGCCGACTACATGACAGCCAAGAACAACGTGGTCATCAACTACAAGGTGGACTGAGCAGCTGCGGGGCTCCCGGCACAGGCCTGGCCCCGGGGCGCCCAGGCCTGACCCTCCTCTCCTGCCCCCCAGGACATGAACCACACCAACTCCTACGGGATTATCCGGGGCCTGCAGTTCGCCTCCTTCATTGTCCAGTACTACGGGCTGGTGATGGACCTGCTGGTGCTCGGCCTGCACCGGGCCAGTGAGATGGCCGGCCCCCCGCAGATGCCCAATGACTTCCTCAGCTTCCAAGACCTGGCCACAGAGGTGGCCCACCCGATACGCTTGTTCTGCAGATACATCGACCGCATCCACATCTTCTTCAGGTACCAGGGGGGTGGGGGGCACTTGGCATGCCTGGTAGGGATGGCCCTGCTGTGATTTGAGACATTCCCCCCCCGACACACACACACACACGCACTGCGCATTTCCCACCCCTTGGGTGTGGGTGGCCCTCGCAGGGAGGGAGCTGGGTCCTGGCAGGGGCCAGGGATCATGGACTCCAAGGGATGTTGCAGTCCTGTACTCTCTGCCTTGATCCTCAGTGGCCAGTCAGGCTGCTTCGTCTGTCCAACAAGCTGGAAGCAGCCTGCCTGTTGTCCCGGGGCTGGGCTGGGCTACTTGCTCAGCCTGGGGTCTCGCAGACAGATCAGTGGCGGCGGTGCTCCTGTCCTGGGCCTCCTCACCCTCGTCCCCCTCTCCAGGGAGAGCGCATGGGGAGCGTTGACACTCTTGGGCTGCCGCTCTGCAGGTTCACCGCGGATGAAGCCAGGGACCTGATCCAGCGCTACCTGACCGAGCACCCGGATCCAAACAACGAGAACATTGTGGGCTACAACAACAAGAAGTGCTGGCCTCGTGATGCCCGCATGCGCCTCATGAAGCACGATGTTAACCTGTGAGCATGTGGCCGGTGGGATGGCTGCCCTCCGGAGGGGCGGAGGCCGGAGGGCAGCCCTTAAGCCCGGGGCTTCTCCCTTGCAGGGGCCGGGCCGTCTTCTGGGACATCAAGAACCGGCTGCCGCGCTCCGTCACCACCGTGCAGTGGGAGAACAGCTTTGTCTCCGTGTACAGCAAGGACAACCCGAACCTTCTCTTCAACATGTGCGGCTTTGAGTGCCGCATCCTCCCCAAGTGCCGGACAAGCTACGAAGAGTTCACCCACAAGGACGGCGTGTGGAACTTGCAGAATGAGGTGGGTGGCCTCCGGGGGGGGGGGGGGGGGGGGGGGGGCTGACAAAGTGCCCTCCCCCCCACACACAAACCACCCTCACTGTTCTCTGCTGTGTTAGGTGACCAAGGAGCGCACCGCACAGTGTTTCTTGAGAGTGGATGATGAGTCCATGCAGCGGTTCCACAACCGGGTCAGGCAGATACTGATGGCCTCGGGCTCCACCACCTTCACCAAGGTAGGTAGGCTGGGAGGTGGGAAGGAGGCCTCAATTCAGGCACAGCCAGTGGAGCGCCTGAGATTCCCTCTCCTCCCCTCTCCTGCTGGCAGATTGTGAACAAGTGGAACACGGCCCTGATCGGCCTGATGACCTACTTCCGGGAGGCCGTGGTGAACACCCAGGAGCTGCTGGACCTGCTGGTGAAGTGTGAGAACAAGATCCAGACTCGGATCAAGATCGGCCTGAACTCCAAGATGCCCAGCCGCTTCCCACCCGTGGTCTTCTACACCCCCAAGGAGCTTGGGGGGCTGGGCATGCTGTCCATGGGCCACGTCCTGATCCCGCAGTCTGACCTCAGGTGAGGAGGCGGCTGCCCCGTCTGCTGGGGAGGGTCAGCCGGCCGGTCTCAGCCCCTTCCCCTCCCTCCTGGGTTGAGCAAACCGGCTCTGCTCCTTAGGTGGTCCAAGCAGACGGACGTGGGCATCACTCACTTCCGGTCCGGGATGAGCCACGAGGAGGACCAGCTGATCCCCAATCTGTACCGCTACATCCAGCCGTGGGAGAGTGAGTTCATCGACTCCCAGCGGGTGTGGGCCGAATATGCCCTCAAGCGGCAGGAGGCCATTGCCCAGAACAGGTGGGTTGCTGGGAGTGGGGGGAGGTGGGCCCCCTTGGCCGGACTTGCTGGGAGGAGGATGTTGAGGTATTCCCCGTTCGGAGGATGAGTGCACTCAGGGAAACGTAGTGAGAGTGGTGTTGAATAACACACAACCAGCATACAGATACACTGAATAGTAAAATGTAGGTTTTACTTCCAGGAAACGGGTAAACAAAGTCCAACGAACAGTCCAAATCATACATGGTTAAAGCAGTTAGTATTCAGAACAATTAGTCCAGGGATAATCAAAGAACAAAGTCCTGTATCATAAACAAAGTTCAGTAAACGGAGTTTGCTAACAGTTTGCAAGACTCACAGCAATTCCAGCAGAACGACGATCAGGCAAAAGGCAATAGGGAAAAGGTTTCTGTCTCCATCTTATGGCCATCGGAGGAACCTCAGCCAATCACAATTACAGCATTCTCTTAAAGATACAACAGTATTAAATAACTATCCTGGTTTCTATATTGCCAATCCAACTGTTAGGTGACTATCATTCCTAACAGAGGAGGAGGAGGAGGAAGCCCGCCGGAGGGAGAGATCTGGCCGGGGGATCGCCCCCTGGGGTGGCTTTGGGGCCCTTGACACCCCCCGATGCAGAGGTGCTGCCTTCAAGGGAGCTCTCGGATTCATCCGTGTTCTGGATCAGCACAGTAACCAGAAGCGAACCGAACAGCTGGTTCTGTAGATGGGGGCAGGCCCAGAAGAAGTTAGCCCAGGCTTAAAAGGGACTGAACGTAGCGTTCCGTGTGGATGCAGCCACTGGGCCTGGCGAGGCCCGGGGTTTAGCCAGCCTTGGCTGCTCTTTCTCCCTGTCGCAGGCGCCTGACCCTGGAGGACCTGGAGGACTCGTGGGACAGAGGCATCCCGCGGATCAACACCCTCTTCCAGAAGGACCGGCACACGCTGGCCTACGACAAAGGCTGGAGAGTCAGGACGGATTTCAAGCAGTACCAGGTTTGCCCCCCCCCCCCCGCACTCCCCCTCCCAAAGCATGCCCCCTCCTGATAGTGGGGGCTGTGGAAGGTCCCGGGGGCGGCCAGCTCTGCGGCCCTTCCCAGTCTCCCTTCTCTTCCCCCTCCAGGTGCTGAAGCAGAACCCCTTCTGGTGGACCCACCAGCGGCACGATGGGAAGCTCTGGAACCTGAACAACTACCGCACGGACATGATCCAGGCGCTGGGCGGGGTGGAGGGCATCCTGGAGCACACGCTCTTCAAGGGCACCTACTTCCCCACCTGGGAGGGGCTCTTCTGGTGAGGAGCGCCCCGTGCCATGGCCTTTCGGGAGGGGGGGGGCTGCGGGCACCTACTGGCGTGACGCGTCCTGCTCTCCTGTCCACCCAGGGAAAAAGCCAGCGGCTTCGAGGAGTCCATGAAGTGGAAGAAGCTGACCAATGCCCAGCGCTCGGGTCTCAACCAGATCCCTAACCGGAGGTTCACCCTCTGGTGGTCTCCCACCATCAACCGGGCCAACGTGAGTGGCGGGGCTGCCCTTCGGGATGGGTCTGGCAGGTCTGTGGGGGTCAGCAGGAAGAGGGCCTCACCCCCCCTCGCCCTCCCCTCCGCCGGCAGGTGTACGTGGGCTTCCAGGTGCAGCTGGACCTGACGGGCATCTTCATGCACGGCAAGATCCCCACGCTGAAGATCTCCCTGATCCAGATCTTCCGAGCTCACCTGTGGCAGAAGATCCACGAAAGCATCGTCATGGACCTCTGCCAGGTGAGGGTCCTTTGGCTCCCCCGCAGCCCAGCTCCTTGGAGGCCCCCAACCAGCAGCCCTCGGGGGCCAGGGGCTCGGGTCCCCCTCCCCACTCCCAACCCCGCTTCCTCCCTCTCCACCGGCCCCAGGTGTTTGACCAGGAGCTGGACGCCTTGGAGATTGAGACGGTGCAGAAGGAGACCATCCACCCCAGGAAGTCTTACAAGATGAACTCCTCCTGCGCGGACATCCTCCTCTTCGCCTCCTACAAGTGGAACGTCTCCCGGCCCTCCCTGCTGGCAGACTCCAAGTGAGCCCCCCACGGGGGTTTGGGTGGGGAGGTGGGGGGCTTCTCACCAGCCCCGCCCGGCCTGCTTTCCCCATGCCGATGGCCTCCCGCCCTTCCTCCTCCTCCTCCTCAGGGACGTGATGGACAGCACCACCACCCAGAAGTACTGGATCGACATCCAGCTGCGTTGGGGGGACTACGACTCACACGACATCGAGCGCTACGCCCGGGCCAAGTTCCTGGACTACACGACGGACAACATGAGCATTTACCCCTCCCCCACCGGGGTCCTCATTGCCATTGACCTGGCCTACAACCTGCACAGGTGAGCTGGGGCTGGGGGGGGGGGCGGCAGGGGATCCGGGGGATCAGCCAGAGCGGCTGCAGAATGCAGGGTGTGGCCCAGTTGGACTTTTGCCCCCCCCCCCGGGTGAGCCGGGTTCTCTTGGGGGGTGGCCACGGGTGGCGGGGGGTGAGGCCTGCCCTGAGGGAGCCCCTCTCTTCCCCAGCGCCTACGGGAACTGGTTCCCCGGAAGCAAGCCGCTGATCCAGCAGGCCATGGCCAAGATCATGAAGGCCAACCCCGCCCTGTACGTGCTGAGGGAGCGGATCCGCAAGGGCCTGCAGCTTTACTCCTCGGAGCCCACCGAGCCCTACCTCTCCTCGCAGAACTACGGGGAGCTCTTCTCCAACCAGATCATCTGGTTTGTGGACGACACCAACGTCTACAGGGTCACCATCCACAAGGTGAGGAGGGGCTCTGGGGACCCCCCTCCTCCCTAGCGGGCGGGGGAGGGGAGGGCGCCCCCTGACCGGCAGCCGCTTCTCTCAGACCTTTGAAGGAAACTTGACCACGAAGCCGATCAACGGGGCCATCTTCATCTTCAACCCTCGGACCGGGCAGCTCTTCCTGAAGATCATCCACACGTCCGTCTGGGCTGGGCAAAAGCGTTTGGGCCAGGTGAGGCCTCGGCCCAGCCCCCTTGCCCCTCTCCCCCTGGGGCGGGGCGGGAGGGAGGGAAGCCTCCGGGGCCCCGCTCATGCGCCTTCTGCCCCCCCCCCCCCTTGCTAGCTGGCCAAGTGGAAGACGGCGGAGGAGGTGGCGGCTCTGATCCGCTCCCTGCCGGTGGAGGAGCAGCCCAAGCAGATCATCGTCACCCGGAAGGGCATGTTGGACCCCTTGGAGGTAGGCCGAGCAGCAGGAGAGGAAGAGGAGGGAGGAGGGCTGGGGGGGGGCAGTCCTATGCTGGAGCTCTGGACCGTGACCCCTGACC